AGCCAAATCAATAATCTCTGCAGTGATGAGGAACCTCATGGAAAACCTTGGCAACTGATTTATTTATTCTGTGAAACTGGAATCTGGTGATAGTAAAAAAATGATGACTTGTGTAGCAGCTGGGGAGGCAGCTTCGTTATATTTTCTAATCTGGCTGTTTCCACTAGCTTGCAAGAAGCTGTGAGCTGATGTAAATACGCAAAAAACTAGTCTGGAACCATAATTGTCAACAAGAAAAGTGCAGCAGTAATCCATTATGAAGCTGTATTGGTCTTCCTTAGCTCTGAATACTGTCTCAGTTTCTCTGCATTTTCAGAAGGAATAGAGCTGATCCAAAGAGTATAGTAGCCATTCTGACAAGAGGTCTACAACTCTTCATGGTCATACTGGTTTTTTTTTTATTTTTATTTTTAGCACAAAAGATTGCTTCCAAACTTAATAAGGACATTTAAAGGCTTTTTGTTATAGCAGTCTTTGACTTGTACTTCTTCAGGAAAATTTTCTGCACCCTGGTGCATATATGGAATTCTTTTCTTTTTCCACTAGCTTAATGGAAAACATTCACTATATTTAAATATACGTTCTGGAGAGTTTTTACTCTAATAAATTTTTTCTGTTTAAAAGTAATTATTGAAGAACAGAATATGCACTGTTTGTGTGAATGTCTGCCTTTAGAGACTTGGAAGTTATATGTCAAGAGGAGAAGATGCAAGTTAAGAATGAGAAAGTCTAAATTAATTCTAAAATTTGGACTGATACGTGAGGGAAATGTAAGGAGCAAATAAACCAAACCCACCAAAAAAACCTTACCAGAGCATATTTAGAAAATTTTGCTTAAAGCAAAATAACATTTTCACTCATTTTAGTTGGAGTACTTGGCTGAAAGGGGACTGCAAGTAGAGAGAAGGTAAAGCACTTGAAACATTTTATGGTTAAGCTTCATAAACCACATCTACAGAAATTCTGCTTGACATAAGAAAAAGATTTGGTTCTTGTCATTTCTATAAATTACTTCTTTGGAAACTGCAATAGTGATAGTTATCTGAAACCAAGGCCTTTGAAATTGCCACAGAGAAAATTCTGTGGAAAGGATTCATACATGCATCCATCTATGTTTTCTTTTTTATCTATCTGTGCATATACATTTAGATGTGTGTCTGAGCATTTCTATAGAAGGTGTTCTACTCCATATATTGGTGGTGATCAGTGGCTGAGGATGAGAGATCATTAGCATTCTTGTTAAATGTGATTTTCAGGTTGTCCTTTATTATCCTAAGAACCCATCTCTAAGAGTTTACTTTAAAAAATACACATTTTCTATAGGTTTAACAGTCTGTTCTGGGGTAGACTATAATGGACTTGATAAATGTTAGGTTTACCTGTTGATGAAAAGATGGGAGGAATAATTTTAAGTATTTATTTGGTGTCTATTGAAATAGAAACTTGGACATGAAACTAGAATGCTTTCCATTTCTTTTCAAAATAGGTATAAAAATGAATGCCTGGTCCTCCAAGTACATGACAGCAGATCATTGCTCATTGATTCATTGATTGTTATAGTCTGAACTCACGCAGAATATCATGGTAAAGGATGGCCTGGGTTTGTGTAAATCTGACTAAAAAGAGTTTCTTTTTTTTCTTGCCAAAGTCAGCAAAAAGCCTTGTTAAATACCTGTGATTGCATATATGTCTTGGTAATCATGAATTTATATTCACTAATTTTTTTTATCTCTGCTAAAGAGGTTTGTTTCAAATTATTTAGTTTTAAAAGGCATTTTTAGCACTAACGTTTACCATGTCAAACTAACTGTAAAGAGGATTTACAAGGAGAGAGTTTATTTACTGCCTTTTCTGTCTGTACCGCTGCCAGAGACATGGTAGTAAACTTTGAGGATTTTTCTGAGCTCATGTTGCAGTAAAGCTATCATTTTATAACACGACCAGGGGTAATTTAGAGTCTTTGCTATAAAATCAAGAAACTGTAGAAATGAAAAAATAAATTCACAGTTGAGCAAGAGGTGTTTAGATAGAGTTTCCAGAGAAACTCTTTTAGATGCAAGTCCAGTCTCTTATTTGAGATTTAGAGTGGCTTTCATACTCAGCCTTTTCACCACAGTTCACAGACACTCATTACTCTCTCTCTTATTCCTGATCCCTGGAGCCACATATTTATACAGCCACTCTTCTGCCAGTGATTGAAGTTTGTCTTAAGAAGGCTTATCATCAATCCTAGCCTTGGTGTTCCAAGGTAAGGATTTTGTGCAGCAAGCAGCAGAGAGAGGACCTACATCTGGTGTCTAAAGTTTCATTGTAGTGAAGTGCAGAAATAGCTGGCTGTAAACGAAAGTTTTTCTGATGAACACAATAAAAAACCATCAGGGCCGTGGATTTACCCAGTGAAATGAATTTACGTATTGGCTTCTTCAAGTAGTTGGACACCTTCCATTTGATAGAATTGCAGTCAAGAACTTTGTGTCTCAAAGTAAATATTCCTCTACAAAGGATTACTTTAGCCCTTCTGTGGTATGCAAGTAACAGGAATTGACCATAAAAGCCAAGTGTTTAAGAAGCCTTTGGTTTTCTGATTTTAGATCGATGCTTTTGTCTGTTGCTTTGACAGACAGAGATCAGAAGCTGAGGAAAATGTTTGCTCAAACTTTTGTTGTTTTCTAACTCCTAGTCAGTATTTTTATGATGTATCTAATGAGATTAAAATATGAAAAAATATATCAAAATGATTCACAGTACTCTTACACAGCTCAGATGAGTGTTACGTAGGCTTTTCATCCTAAAAAGAAGTTGGGTGATCAAGTAATATGGATTAGCTGAGATATTTGTCTGCTGAAATATATTTACAGTATATGTCCATGAACAATAAGGACAAAATATTTAACTATTGAAAGATCCTGTTTATTTAAATTCTTGGGCTTTGCATTTTATTTGTTCAATGCTTTCTTAATGGAACTAAAGGGTATTTAGTTGTGGCTTTTACGATGCCCTGTTGTGGCTGAACTACATCAGAATGAGAGATATGACTCTTGACAGCTGCTGCAGGAGGTTTGCTTTCTGCTACATACTGTTAGGCTGTAAATCACATGTCGTGTTCCTCCTAACACAAGGTTTAGTTGAGTGAAATTCTGTGGCTAGGGAGAAATCAAGTCAGGCTCACTCTCTGATAGCCTTGTAACCTAAGCTGCTGCTTGTATGGTGTAACTGGTGAGTGCCGTATCCTTGTTTAGGCATGTGACAAGTAGGGTATTAGCTGGGTCATGGAAGTTATGCCTTACTAATGAATAGGAGAACAAACAAGAGTTACCAATTGACAGAATGGATGATGCTGGAGTACACCTGGTCCAACCCACCTGTTCAAAGCAGTCAACTAGAGCAGGTTGCTCAGGACCACTGGAAGAGTCTGGCTTCATCTTCTTTACTCCTCAGAGCAGATACTTAAGAAAATTTGTAAGTTCCCGATCTTTCTCCATGCTAAAAACCCCAGCTCACTCAGCTGCTCCCTGTATGACAGATCTTCCAGTCCCTAATAATCTTCATGGCTCATCAGTGGAAATGCTCCAGTCTTTATCTTTCTCATACTGGTGAGCCTGGAGTACAACCCAGAACTCCAGATGTGGCCGTGGAATGCTCACTTCCCTAGACCACTCTCAAGAGACTTCCTAAATAGGTCTTAAAAGTAATCTTTGCAAAACTTCTCATCACCTTTAGGAAACAGTTGCTCTTATTTATGGGGTGCATTTGGTTTGTTATTTATGCAGACGTAGTGAAAATTCAGTATTTCTGATTCTTCTCTTTTTGTGTGGTTTCCCAAACATTACCAACAGTTTCTTACCTATTTTGGACACCTATACATTTTTTTGGCTTTGTGACTAAGCTTCTGATGCTTGCATGCTTTCTGCTCAACTTGGTTAGTTAGCCTCTGTCACTGAATGTCTGCAGTAAGCAAGGGTTAATGAGAAAAATTTTGCAGAATTCTGAATATTTACTTCATGCTTAGGAAAGCAGTTTTTAGAACAATGGGTGGTTTGGTTGATTTATGTCCTGGGAAATACACTGTTGCTTTTCATGGACTAGCAGAAAACTCACGTCATGCCTTTCCTCTTTCTTGGTAAAAGGAAAAATCAGGAGGAGGTCTGAGGATGCTGTCCATTTGGGAATGCTTCTAGAACTTAGTGTGCTTTGTGGTATTTAGAAGTCAGAATTTATGCAGTCAGATTTGAACCACCAAAATTCGTGTTTCAAATATATAAGAAGTAATGTTTATAAAAATAGCAGAAGGTTGTGAAAGATATATAGAAGTTTAAGGAGCATTTTAGGGCCCCTTCTTTAAAAGTTCACTTCGCAAACAATGTATTTCTTCATTTTCAAAGGTTGTAACTGTGCATATGTAACAATTTTTTGTGTTACCAGGAATTGGTAAAAAACCTTGTAAAATGGTTCTGTTTTTAGACATGTAATTGGAATTTGATTATACGGCCTCAAAGAATGACTAAATAATTTGATTCTATTAGAAATATCATAAGGAAAACACAAAATTCATTTTGGGTAAGTGGGCAACCGTGGCTCACTTGTTGAGCCATGTTGTGAAAGTGCTCTTAACACCAACACAAAAGCAAAACCCTTTTCTGCTGTAGCCATGCACAGAGAGTTACTTTATGAAACAACTTCATTCTCATCCAGTTTTTATTGTAGTTTTATCTGAAGTTACTTGATGTTTTCCCCCACCCTTTGAAAATAAGTGTTAACTTCCAATGGAATTGGAGTTCAGAAATAGTGATGTATGCTGTCTTCTGCTGATATGGTGCTACATGTTTTCTATTGATCTCTTAACTTTATTTTTTTTTTAATTAGAAATGCTCTTCTTCTTTTGTCCCACTATTTTTCTCAGTGGACAAAAATAAAAAGGAAGTGGTAGACCTGAGGTTCAGGAATTTGTCATGAGAAGTACCCTCTAAGATGCATAACCCCTGTGTTTGTCATCACTGCAGTGCTGCATATGATGCCGTCCTTGACAGAAACGTGGCCATTAAGAAGCTCAGCAGACCATTTCAGAACCAAACTCACGCCAAGAGAGCTTATAGGGAGCTGGTCCTCATGAAGTGTGTGAATCATAAAAATGTAAGTGCTCAGCAGGAGAAATGGTTATGTGCATTGCTGTGTTAGAAAATAAATTGTTTTGTTGGGTTTCTCTTTTAAATGGAAGAAATTAGAAGTGAATTATGCTCAAGGGCTGCACTCTATCTGGTACTTCATGCCCACAGGAGAGACTGAGGGTATTCCACCTACTTTTTTAAAGGCTGTGCCAAACTGGGATTGTTCTAGACTATCCTGCTTCTTGCACCATCTACTGTATATTATTTAGTACCCATAATGAATGAAAATATTCCTATGCTGCACCAGGAGTAATATTCCAGGGCTGAATGTTAATTTTAACTATTATCTGTTAGAACTGTCTGGCACTGTTTCAACTGTTTTTTTGTAGTGAAATATGTAGGATTGCCACACTGCATTGTAAAGGGCTGTCCCAGAGATTTCATTTTCCTCTACTTCCTAGATTTCCTGCTGCCATATCTGGGTGCCCCTTTTCATTAGGAGAGATTTTTTTCAGTTTGCAGTGTCTACCTGTCCCTCTGAACTTGGAATGACTCTTTTTCCTTATGCAGAGCATAAATGAGCTTATAACAATGCGATGTAAGGGGAGATTTTGCACTTGTTCTCAATCACATGTTCACATGGAAAGAGAAAAGACTGACCCTAAAATGGCAAATTGCTGGACTTGGCACTACAGTGTCTCTGCCTTACTTCTGGGCAGTGATTTATCCTTACATTCCCACTGTGGTGATCAGGACCGTTCCTGTCTTTTCCCTGTTGACTTGATGGAAGCTACCCTCAGCCAGCCCAGTGCATGAGGATTTGAAAATGCAGGGATGAGTGAGAAGTTTTTTAATGGACTGGAAAGAGCAGAGGAGCAGCAGGGGTGTCACTTATTTTAAATACACAATTTTGAACATGGTGCATGACAGCTGCTAACAGCACCACGTGGGTTGGGTCAGAGCTTCAATCTGTCTGTACAGAGAAGTGCAAATGAAGGAGAGGATTGTAAAGACACTTTTGCGGTGGTATGTTTAAGTCAGAATATGTGGAGTAAAGAGAAAGAATGTTGAACAATTACTGTTAGAAAACCTAAAGAGGTAATGGAGGTGGGAAGGGTGACATTCAGATGTTGATTTCATGGCAGCAGTGCTGGTGTCATCTACATCTGTTACCTGCACAGAGGGAAAACAGGGGAAATGTTGTTTCCTCTGTTCTTTTTCACACATTCTTCTTACCAGTGTCTTTCATCAGCCCAGCCCATTAAAAGAAAAAAAAAAAATGTTAACCAAACGAGAGAAAGGAGAAAATGAGTTGAAGTATGCAGGATGTCTTTGCTCAGGGTGTCTCTGTTTCAAAGTGCCTCTACTGAAAAGTTGTACCTGCCACGATGGGATTTGTGTCAGCCACCATGTGAATGTATGTGCCCTCAAATGAATTGAGGTCATGTCAGAGAGAAGGAAGGACTACTGTTTAATAAAATTATCCTTGGTTATTTGTCCCCTCAAATTATCATTCCTCATAAATAAGAAAATTCAGGCTGTATCACAAAGACTGCTATGCTAGATTGAGCTGATCTTGGAACCTGCAGCTTCAAAACTGAGAGGAGTGTCTCACCCTTAGCACTTTGTTTTGTCACTGGTTTCAGATGATTTCAAGTGCATCTAGAAGAAATCTGAAAGGTCTGTGGTATTTTATTTTGAATGCTGCTGATTTTTTACTGATTCATAAAGTGAGAAATGTTAATACAAATAGAGCAGTGAAAAAACAGTTTATTCTTTAACACAGTTAAAGACAGGTTCAACTGATTGTGCATATCACTTTATTCTTTTGTCTTACTTTGCTTTTCAGATTATAAGTTTATTAAATGTCTTCACACCACAGAAATCTCTGGAGGAGTTCCAGGATGTGTAAGTAACCGGGGTAGTAATTAAGCTAAAGCTTTAGGGATGTGTGGGGCATTGTGGTGTACCTTGATTGTAATAATTCAGCAAAATACAAAGGTTGTAGCCCCTTCCAAAAAAAGATAGTGTGAGTCTAGTAGATAGAAAAATATTCTGAATACCCATATTGAGAGCTCTTTTGACAATTTAAGGTGAAAAACACCAGGTTTCATATTTGTTGTGTAAAGTTATTTGCATGGGGAGCTAAGGGTAGGTGCAGAAGACAATCAGCATCTCTGTTGAAACCTTGCCCTGCTGGACAACCACTATTGTGCCTAGTACAAACCTGCTGTGAATGAAATTTTAATTATTCTCTGTTTCATATTGCTGCTCTCCTTTTATCTTTCTGTCTTTCCCATATTCTGTATACATTGCATGGAAATATGTTCCTATTCTGCAGTCTGATTCCAGCAGTAACCAATTAATTGTAATGAGAATTTTGTGAAGTCATGCAAGCTTAGGAGGATTTTTGGAGGCATTTTGCACGGGCATGCATATTTTACTCTCTCAGACACCTCTGTTTCTCTCAGATTTCTATGTGTACTGTGGTAGCCATCCCTGCAGTGGTCAAAGGCTGAGCAGTTACATCATTTGGTGCTTGTAGGTCTTCTGGGTTTTGTGCGTTTCTGTGTGGTGCTGCCTGATTGCTTATGTAGGGTATAGTGTCTGCCATGGGGAACAAACACACCAAGAAAGGGCAAATAATCCACCAGTTTTCCTGGTATGCTAGCTAACAGAGTGGTGTCTCAGCAGTGAGATACAAACACCACCGTGATGCTGTGGTTAGTGGGCCCAGTCTCCAGCTGTGTTACTCTCAGTCATCAGAGAGAAAGTGAATTTTAGAGCAAGAAAAAGCATTGTTACTTATTTGAGATGATGCTGTGATTTGCCTTCAACACAAAAAATAACACTGTGGCTTTGCTTTTCCATTCAGCTACCTGGTAATGGAATTGATGGATGCCAACCTGTGCCAGGTCATTCAGATGGAGCTGGACCATGAGCGAATGTCTTACCTTCTGTACCAAATGCTCTGTGGAATCAAGCATCTTCACTCTGCAGGGATTATTCACAGGGTAGGGGGCCTTTGGCTTAAAACTTAAGGCGGCATATGAAATTATCATGAAGACTTTGAAACGATCATGAAGCCATTTGGCTCTCTTGTGTACTGTGGGTCAAAGCCCTGTGTCCCACTGCAATGAATAAAAGACATAAAAGCCACAGTCAGAGGTCAGGGGATATGGAATTGGCATTTGCCATCATTTTCATGTGTTAAAGCAAATGAAAAACTGCTGAGTCTATTTGAAATGCATCCTCTCATTTTGCTTTTTCCACATCAGTGCTGTGCCTGGTAAGGATGTGGTACCTGGCTGTGGATGTGTGATAGTTGATAGCAGGGGGGATTAGGTCATGTCACTGTGAGCAGGAGGGAATTGTCAATGGATTGAAAATACCCTGACTTAACTTCTTTATTGAAAAGTGCTTTCACTAATTTGCTTTCACTAACATTTGGGAAAAAATGTTTCCCTGAAGAAAAGAAAGGCTGATAAAGTGGGTCACAAAGTGGATGTTGTTCTACAGAGTTCTCCTTTCTTGACATATCATATGTTTAGCAAAAGATTTTAGATTTGGTGGCCAGATAGTTATCCAGCAAAAGGTGAGTTGAATTATTATAAATGAAGCATTAAGGTATCTCTAAATGTGCAGTTGGAATGTCTCTATCAGGCTCACAGCATCAAGAGAAAATAATCTAATCAAAAGAGCACTTGCATACTAATCCTAGTAAATGCAATTAATTTAATGCCAGTAGGCTCCTGTTATCCAGGTTAAGCCCCACACTATGCTGAGATAGAACAACTTCCAGAACAGTTTGCTAGACGAACAATAGCAAGAGTTTGTTGTATATTTACAAGTATTTCTGATAGCAACTTGGTCAGAAGAGGGAAAGAGTATTCGAAGGGTGACCTAAAGCATCTGTCCATATCATAACTGTGCCCAGCTTTTTAAAGGACAGTCACGATTTTTTTTTCCACCATCTTTTGCAGGATTTAAAACCAAGTAACATTGTGGTAAAATCTGACTGCACGTTGAAGATTCTGGATTTTGGACTGGCCAGAACTGCAGGCACTAGCTTCATGATGACCCCCTACGTGGTGACACGCTACTACAGAGCTCCGGAGGTCATCCTGGGAATGGGCTACAAGGAGAACGGTAGGGCTGCAGTGTCACTGCACCAGCTCCCCTCAAGGGAAGCTCTGCTTCACCATTGAAAAGGACACCCAAAGGAGGCACAGGAAATGTAATGGGAAATGATGGGAAATGACACCTGGAGTTAGAGCAGTTCCTCACTGTTGTGAACTGCAGCTACAGAATGTATTTGGGATGCGCTGCTCGTGAACTTATCATTGTGGGATTGCAGAGTAAAGGAAACTTATTCTTAGTTATGTTTGAAGTTACAACTACAAGCTAATTTTGACCAGAGCTTTCATCTTGGTCTTCTGTGGCCATGAAATAATGTGGGTACCACTAGAATTGCTGAACGAGTGATGTGCCCTAAATTTGAGTCTGGATCTCTGAATTGGTTGAAGGAACAAGAAGAAGTACAAGCTGAAATAGAAAATCCTAGCCCTTCCAGATTTTCTCTAAATCCAGAGCTAGATCTGAATTTCAGGAATTAATTCCTTCTTCATGATAAATTTTACAAAGTCACAGATTTTGCTGACAGGTTTCATCTTGGTAAGATCTAGGTATAAATTTTGCAGTTTGAGTTCATTTTTTTTTAAATTAAAAGTGAAATTGAAGAGAAAAGGAAAAGGCTGAAAAAAAAAAATGAAACAAAACATAATTTGTATGTAAGGTCCCTAGAAGTAAATAGGATATTCTTCTGAATAGTCTGAGAGAGATCTTGGTCCTTGGAAATATTGTGAAAAGCAGGTGGGGATGCTTGCTATAGAGAAGTGGATAAGGAAAAACTCAAATTTTGCAGAAGATGAAGGGAAATATTTTTAAGTTGGTCTCATTTTGTAAAAGAACTGGGAATTGCATCTGAGTGCCAGGTAGACCAGGCAGGAAATGAGGGAATAGCTATAGCTCAGATTTTGCTGTTAAAGGTATAATTTGTCTGTTCGAGGAGACTTTTTGATGGCAAATACAGGAAATGTGACAAGACCAGGAATTTATTAAAAAGTGTCCTATGTGATTTATTTTGAGGAGGTTAGCTAACCTGCAGGAGAACATTTACTAACAGCCAACTGCATCCTGTAAAGGGCAGTGAAACTGATTTTGAGAGCAAAATCCATTACTTCAGCACTACTGAAAACATAATTGCACAACCTCTTCTGAAATTAGCAAGTCCTTGTATTAATTATTTTTAATGTTTATGAATTTAAGGTATACATTTTAATACAAAAGTCTAAAAAAAGCTAAATAATAACAATAATAATAACAATTATTGTTGTTGTTGTTATTATTATTATTATTATTATTATTATTATTATTATTATTATTATTATTATTATGCAGAGTCTTAACTTAGAGAATAATTTCTGAAAATAAGGGAATGATATTCCTTAAAGTATTTTGTTTACAATTTTTGCTAAGTGCCACTAGAAATTTGAAGTTGTACTCTTTAGATAGTTCTTTGGTCAATATCCAGAGTTCTTCTATTGTCAAATGAATTCTTTTGTTGATTTTTTTTTCCCCTCCAGGACATTTAGTAGATGATTAGGGTTATTGTTGTTGTTATTGTCCAGAAAGGACAGAGAGAGCATTTGCTGTTCACATGATTAAAACTGCACCAAGAAAAAGTTAGACACGCTTTTGAGACGAAGTACACAACTGGGAAAGTTCTATTATTTGCCACATCCAAGGGTCCTGATCAAATGCCCATTGAGGTTAACACAGAAACTTCCTTTGACTTCTCTGGGCAATGAATTTGGCTTAAGATGAATGATCTTGTCTTACTTGGACAAAGCCAAAACAAAGAGAGGAAGCAAACAAAATGTTTGGAAATGAAGCTCAACCATCAGAGGAGCTGCTCTGTTTGGAGGCTCTGACCCAGCTCCCAAGGAAGTCAACAGAAAGGGTTGTTCTTTGCTTCCCTGCTCTGGCCTATGCTGCCACATTACTGAAGTTCCCCAACTTTTTCCCCTCTGACTATGTACACTGCCTGTATAAGGACTGTTCACTGCTTTCATTTTCTTTCTGCACTTGGTTGGCTAAAGATGCATAATTATCACCAGTTTGCTGCACTTCTGTGGAAGGTCCCAAAACTGTCACTAGGAAGAAAACTGCAACTGCCTCAGGCATGCTTTTGCTGTCCCATGCCCTTGATACCTGTACCCTCCTTTTCCCAAATGGAACATTTCACCTTTATTTTGTTTCACCAAGAAATGAGTTGTTTGTTTGTTTCTTTGGTTTGTTTTGGATTGCTTCTAAAGGTTAAAAAGGGAAGAAAAAGAGGAGAAAATTGATTGTGTAGGTCAAGCATAATGATAAAATGAGGATTTCAGGCTCAGAAACAACATAGTCTTTTAAAGCATTTCAAAGCAGTTTTTTCCTCTTCACATGGAAGACAGGTTTTGTTTGGTTTTTAATTTTTTTTTCTGTCAATACTGTGTCACTATCTAGCCAGCATTTCTTCTTTAAAGAACTTAAAGGCCAAAAAATCCCCTATCCAAGTCAAGCAGATAAGGTAACTGTGCATATTTCATCTAGAAGCTGAAGGCAGGATTGGGAATAGGAAATGCTCTTAGTCTTGTTGATATTTGTTCTTTGGAGCTTTTGTTATAGCATTTATTTTGAGTGCCTACACAGTACAAAAGAAAGTCCACTCAGGTCATGCTCTCCATGATAGGTACCTAGAGATAGGACAGAGGGATAGATCTTGAAAGACGAGTTTTAAATAACCTTTAAAGGTGGTATTTTTCCATATGGCCTCTACTTGTGTGAGCAGTTCCAAATGGAACCTCTTTTCAAAAATCCTTTTTTGCTGCAGGGAGACTCAGTGCTGAAGAACAAAGCCTAGAAGCCCTGCAAGTAGGATTTATGTAGGATTTATTCCAGATTACCATTATCTGGTTGTTTTGGTTTTTTCCTAAAAAAAAAAAAAAAAAAANTTTTTTAGCCATAAATTTGTTACTTGGTCTTTACTTACTTGATCTGGATCTTTACCCAAAATGTTGATTTTAAACTTTTTCCACTGTTGTTACTAACTGCTGTTGAGCTGATTGACACAGCTTTTATTTATTCAGTTACTTATTTTAGCTTTTGGTGAGACATGAAAAAGAAACCCAGCAAAACCACAAAACAAACTGTGTACTGTGCTGATCAACGTTTTTGCCCTCCTCTAGGAGTGAAATGTTGTAGTTAACGTTGCTTTTTTTCCCTCCTTCTTCACTTCCTTGTCTCTGCTGTTCTAGTGGATATATGGTCTGTGGGATGCATTATGGGAGAAATGGTTCGCCACAAAATCCTCTTTCCAGGAAGGGACTGTATCCTTGTGCCATTTGCTGCAGCTTCACCTATTATTTGTTCCTCTCCTCCACCCCAACCCTTTTACCATAAAGTGACTGTACCAGGACTGTAAAGATAGAAGCAGAAAGTTGAGGTATGGCTAAATGAAAATAGCACACTACTGATATGCACAAAATTAAAAATGAAAAACAGATGCACAGAATTATTTTGGTCAATTAAGTTACTCTAAAACCTGTAATCATTCCATTTCATATACTATTTATGTCATGTCAATAAGCAATATAGAAAACAAGCATTATGATAACAAATTGGATAGCTTTATTTACTATTCATTGAAGGAAAAATAAGGGGAAAAAAAGTCCTAATTTGGCCCATCTCATTCCTGTAAATCTGTTTTTCTGCTTTTATGTTTTGGAAATACTGACTTCATAACATTTGTGGTGACATCATAATCTTTTGCTTGTTAATGCATCATGGTTTTGGATTCATCTCAATGCTGTATAGGCTCAGTGTTGAGCCAATACAACATTTTTTTTTTCTTTAAAACAAAATGAAGAATTTGACTCGCCCAGTTTAAGGCAACCGTTTTTCTGCCATGGTTTCCAAATTGTCCTGAAATCAGATTCTCTTGATTTAAAAATGAACTTCCCTTTACTTGCATGAGGTCTGTGTTGTCAATTAAACTGTATTCCCTCCTATCTTGTTCTTCTTGTCTTGGGTGATATTATTTTTACCCCTTCCAAGGTGGTGAAAGCAATATTAGAAAATGAAAACAAAAGAGGAGGTGTCTGCTTAGCCTCCAGTTTGTCACAGGCTAAACCTGCCCGTGCTGGTTTGGAAATGTAAATAAGTGTGTTTTGCGCATCAGAATAAAATGAGGCAACATAACGTATCTTCACTTTTGGAAACAAAAAGGAATCTTATTTTCATCTAGTTGGCAGAAAGGCACCATGAAAATCTAGCATCAGCAGCCACTGGCAGTTGGTGTGAAGAAAACCCAGTTTTCACAGGCATGTAGCCATAGAAGCAATTCTTTTTTTGCTGACTTTTGAGCAATTCATGTCATGTTTGTCAAAGTTGGGTCCTGCCTGTCCTGTTTTCACAGCTCTGTCAACTTCCTCTGAAAGCTGAGCTCTGCTTGGTGACCCAGTGAAGATGCAGTTCTACTTCACTAACAGGGAGATGGAGGGACAGCAGGTACCTCCTGTTTGCTGAGGGGGTGACAGCAGCACTTTACTGCTTCCAGTCTTATAGGAAGAGGGGCTGGAAAGTTGCTGGATGCAAAACAAGGCAGAGAGGTTAAAATGGTGATTTTTTTTTTTATTAGTAGGTAGCTTTGAGATGCTTTAAGGTGCTGAGCTGTCCCTGCAGCATGAGGAGCAAGCTGCAGACCCACCTTCAGCTGTAACCTCAAAGTGCAGATCAGCTCCCAGCATTCCCAAGATCTGTAATTTAATGTGTTAGTTATACTGTGTTTCAGTGGTCTCAGAAACACCATCATAATGCTTCCTCCAAACAATGCACTCTCTTCCTCTTAAAAACAAAAAACATTAAAGAAAAACTATACTATCTATAATACACTTGAAGTTCATCTGTGAATACTGAGGATATTTCCATTTAATCTTTTCTGAGTGAAGTCTGAGATTTTAGTTGATACAAAGAATGATTTCAGGATAAAAGCATAGTAGTGTGGTTAATGAGTTGCTCTCCTTTTTCAACAACAAATTAGAAGATACGTTTGTCCATGTCTGGAAAAAAGAGTTAATGCTATATAATTTAACCAATGTAGCTTTTAAAATCATTCAGACATGAGAATGACTCTGTATCTGTTTGGCTGTGGAAACAGTCTCTTACGACAGCATCGTATCAGGGATAGTAGTTAAAGGGTCTTGAAATATTTGTTAACATTTCAGCATCAGTTGAAAATAACAACTGAATTTTTTAACAAATGCAGCAAAAATTGTGTAAATCGTGGGATAGTCCTACTTTTTAAATCATTGGAAATCCTATATCCTGAAATAGAATGTATGTGGGCAAGGTCACAATTACTACCATGCTTTAATGGTGTGTTTATTCAGATGAGTGGGAAGTTAAAAAAAAAAAAAAAAAAAAAAAAAAAAAAAAAAAAAAAAAAAAAAAAAAAAAAAAAGAAAAAGAAAAAAAAAAAAAAGAAGAAAAAACCTGGTACATTCATTTCCAAGTCAGTACTCATTTGTTAACCAGTTTGACCCCATGAATGAGTTGTCAGTGTTGGAAGGACTGTTTTGTGTATGGATCCATATGATTTCCCACCCCTCCCTGGCTGTTGATGAGCAGATCTAGTTTCAATCCAGGTGCAGGAAGAGCTGGAGAAGCAATTGTACAGCTGCAGGTAAACTTCACAGAAGTATATTACATATTTCCCTTGGGCTACCTAAGACTTTTGAACAGAGAGTTTTCTAGCTGGAAGAGGTGAATCTGTATAGAAATCATAAATACCAGTTCTTTTTAATCATTCAAAAGACAGTCTACTGTGTCCACTTGCTATCAATATGAGCTTTCTCATTTCTAGTCTGGAGTAGGAACATTTGTGTATGGCACAGTATACATCTAAGAAAAAAATCCCAGCTGCTGCCATGTTTTATGGAAAGAAAATATTTTAAAATTTAATCTCACCTAAATCATACCACTGAGTTACCACTGCACTCAGGTGCTGCTGACTTGAAATGAAATTTGATTTTTGAAGTCTTTGTGGAAATAAAAACATAGAGGGGATTAATTTCAGAACCTCTCATCTACATAAACAAGAAACTCTCTCTTAAGCTGCCAAGGAAAGAAAGCTCTGGAAACTGGATAGAATACAGCTGGTTTTCAGACAAGTAAGAACAGCCTCCAGTGTCCTTGAGTGTACTGGGTAGAAATTACCTGACAGGTACCTTCATTCCTTGTTATTCAGCTAAGGCAGACTTTACAAAATACTGTCAGGGAAACTTCCTTGTCAGAAATCAGACCCTCTCAATCACCTTTCAATCCATTTCCAGAAGGATTTGCAAACTAAAATATTCCTGGCAAGTTCCAGTAAGCTTTTGTAGTCCACTTCTGAGTTTCTTGCTCAGTGTTTCTTTGATGCTTATTCCATTTTTGTTAAATTGGAAAGCATGTGAGCAGCTAAAAAGTGCCTGAACTTTTTGATGCCATTGGAAATATGTTAGAAAATCCCAGGGCTTTCCCAAAACCTCTTTCAGCCGTAGGCAATAACATCTTCAAAATCTTATAAGATTTCAATTTAAGGATTGGAAATGTATTTCTGTTTTTTTTTTTGGTTTTTTTTGTTGTTTTTTTTTTTTTTTTTTTTTGTTTTTTTTTTTTTTTTTTTTTTTTTTTTTAGAGAAGGGAAAACTTAAAATGGATGCTTTCATGTGAGACAGTTTTATTAAGATCTGAGCTCCCAAGTCCACAGTGATGTCCTATAGGCACACATGACTTAGTGGGGAAAATAAAGTGATCAGAGCATTTATTTTCAGTACTGAAAAGAAGGAGGCATGTACAGGATGGTACTATAGCAATTTCACTTGTGAATCCTTCAGCAGATAAAAGGGAATTGGTGATTTAGCCATAGAAACATATTGTGATAATAGCCAAGTATCCTAAGTTTGGCTGGGCCTGAATTTCCATTGTAAATATGGAGAACAGAATTCCTACTGCAAGTAGCCTAAAGTCTTAGATAGTCAAAAGAGAAAATACCATTAAAGTAGGAAGAGAGAAAAATTCCAACTTTCTTCTGTGTAATTATGAACATCCAAAAGGAATTGTGAAGAGAGAAGTCAGCATTAACAGATAGAGTTAATGTTTTCTGTGGCAAGATTTTCAAAAATTTCCTTGCCTACCAGCTGTCTTTGAGAGTGGTGGGATTAAGAAATGCTCTCTGACATCTGACAGAAAGTGTTCTATTGCCTTAGGAAAAAAAGTTTGCATGAAGAAAGTATTTTAGGAAAAGGTGCTGCCTTTCCACCACTCATAAACAGAATTTATCATTGCATTTGATCTGCATGGATTAATAGGTGTAATTTAAGCATTTTGAGGGCATTTTTGGGTGTTTCTTAAACTACAGTATAAGAAAAACTTCTGCATTTTTGTTAAGTGCAGTTTTACTTGTTCCGGATGATATTTTCTTAAGGCTTGTTTTGTCTTAAAATCAAAAACAGCAACTAGCATCAGGATTATTTAAAAGATACTGTTAAGGGTTACTGGCCTGGCTTTCCAGGTAGGATCAGCTGGCTCATGTTAGCCTGCTGCTTAAGTGTGTGTTAGCTATGATGGCATTGATAGCTAAATTTGGCTTTTGACCTAGATTATTCTTCCCTGACTATTTGGTTTTCGACTCATGATTTCCCTTAAAGTTTGCTCATGAGTTGAGGCCTGTTTCAAAGAGGTCTCAGAGTAGATGTGAGGATAATTTGGCTGTTGCCATTTTTCTCTCTCTCTGTTGCTTTTTTTTTTGTTGTTTTTATTTTTAATGCAGATATGTATACTCCAACAGATTATAGTGTAATTTGCACTTAGCATGAAACCCCCATGCTGTCTGTCATCTGAGTGGCTCTTGGACAGGATCCCAGGTGCTGCAGTGGAGATGTCCCACTGCTTGTTTCCCATCACTCACCTTAAAGATTTTCAGGATGCACTGCTGCCTTGTATGAATTTCAACTGAGGCAAGTTTTAATTGTGTTTTCTAGCGCCTATGAGAATTGGATGGTCTCAAATGTTTTGGGGGTTTTTCTGTGGCATTAGTCATCTTTTTCTTGATGGCAGCTGTGCTAAATTGAGCTGAAACAGATGGGAACAGTTGAGCAGAGAATTTAGAACCTGTGGACAAAACAGTACTGAAGTGCCTTTTGTCAAGAGCATGCAGGTATTTGGACAGGATCAAAATAAAGAACTGGAACACCTTCAAAATCACATGAAGCTGAGTCAGGGGAGGTTTAGGTTGGATGTCAGGAAAAGGTTTTCACCTAGAGGATGACTGGGCACCAGCATAGGC